AGATTGGGGGTGGGTGCTGTTTACCACTTTTTTTTTACTGTAAGTCTGTCTAATGTACATCCTCAAAGCATTTTTAAAAGAGCAAGGTGAAGGGTCAGGCTCCTTGTAGGTTTAATATTTGAAATAAAGCCTCTATTACTGTTTAAACTGTAGATTAAATATTACCAGGATGGAGCTCAGTTAAACATTTTCATTTTTAACTACAAAGCTCACATGCTTGGGTATTACAGGAGAAGATGTTTGACTCTGGAGGTAACTGCTGCAATTTGTGGCGATAACAAATAGCTTTTAAGAAAAGAAGAGACTTAGAGGCCAGTGAACCTCTAGTGTCTCGGTTTAATACAGCTTTTGGCAAATGTAGGTGCTTAAAAGCTCTGGAAATCCCCATTATTTGCCATCAAAGCATTGTAATAAAATATTAAGTTAATTCAGATAATAAGATCATCCATCAGGGCCACCAACATAGTAGAAATGTGGTTTCTGGGATCATTGCATTGCTCATTCCAAGTTCCACTTGGAATGAGCAATGCAATGATCCCATTTGACTCGGGGTTTTTGTTTTGTTTGTTTTGTTTTTTATCATAAGCAGAATTGCCCAGTGCCAGTGGCATTAGCCATTGGTCAACTCCCAAACCCTTAATAATGTCACAGGTAGTTGTCTGCCTTAGACCTTTTATGATCATAAAATTAAACCGTCGGCAGCTAATGGTAATCCATCCTTTACACCATTCTTTTCCTCCTAAAAACCTCATTACTTCATTGTTCCAAATGAGATAACCAGACATGGTTCTTTCTAAATCTTCTGTGTTCAGTTGAGACAGGAATGTGGATTTCTGCTATTATGTCCCCCCCCCCAAAAAAAAAATCCTAAGTGCTTTTCACTCTGTGAAAATATTGAATATTTTATCCTCACTTTCATTTTCTGAAAATGAATATAATAAACTGAGAAAATTAACCACCCAGGGCTTAGCATTTTAGTAGCCATTTGGAAGAAATTTCTTCCCAAAAGTATAAGAGATAAAAAATAAAAGGGGGTGCCACAATTTACCTCAATCTAAAATGCTCTGGATATTTTATGAGGTGCAGATAGAAGATTTTTACTGTTCTACTTTCTTTTACCACCTTGGGCTGAAATGGGAACGAGACTCCCTCCAGCTCCCACATCTGGGAGAATGCCAGCTTCGGGACCAAACCAGTAGCCTTCCCACTGGGGCTGCTGGTGTTGAAGTCAGGAGCCAAGCCCATAAGAATGGAAGATATTGTGGGGCACTTGTGCCCTTAATGCCTGGTTTCTCCTGTCAACTCAAGAGAAATGATCAGGCTGCAATATTATCAAAGGGGGGTTTTATTTGAGAATAGAAACTATGTTTGAGGCCCACCCCCTGAGGGGCAGGTTACCTAAGGTGTGTACTACTGGGGTCAGGATGGAGGGGAATTAAAGGATCAGGCAGAGAAATGGTCTGCGATTGAGTCACACTTCGTTGTGAAACCTTTTGGATTATTTCCTACGTCCATCCATCTGTCCCTGACTGGTGGGCAAAAGTCTCCAGACAGAAAGCTGGGGGGTGTTGTCAGGATCAGCATTTGCTCATATTTACTTCCAAGTATGTACTTCCTATTGTCAGACGCAAGTGCAGAGTCGTAAGTTATAACGTGAAGTCTCAGCGTGGAAGCTGGAGACAAGATGGCGTCTGTTTGACTTAAAACACATTCTTTACTCTGTGAAAGCACAAAATGGTGGTATTTGAGGCTAATAGAAGGCCCCTCCTCTGGGACCCTGAGGCTGCATAGTTGGGATTCATTGCAGGAGGTTTGTAGTATGTACCCCAGGACTTGGATTTCAGTATCTATGCACATTAACCACAGACTCTTGAAGACTTGGATCATGTCTCCCAGCCTCAATTTCTTGGGCTATAAAGACAGTGCCCTCATCATAGAGCTTGTTGAGAGGAGAGCTGTAGAGGAGGGGACTTTTAAGCTTTTGTAGCCTAGATAATTTAGGCAGCAGGAACAGAGAGCAAAGGTCTTCTGTGGGAATGCATGGTCCTGGCAGGGGATCCCCCAAGATGCTCAATCTGGCAAATGTACTTCTGTCACATTGTGTGGATGTCTTTCCCCAGACCCACGATTCTCCCACATCAGCTGGGTGTCCTACAATTCGACTCAATTGTGACACTGTCTACCTGGAGAAAGCATCAGTCCCATAGGTTGAGAACATAGCGCTATGAAACTGCCCCCCTCCTCACTTCAGATGCCAGGTTGTAACCTGTGCTCTGGCTGACTGCCTGTAGACTGGAGGATCCCACAGCTCCCTCCTTGGGTTTGGTTCATTTGCTGAAACGTTTCACCTCTCTAGTTCCACCATCAGCCCACATTCTTAGGTAAGCCTAAAGTCGTTCTCAAGGTTGCCTCATTAACATCACCAAAGACACAGTGTCATGGAAGACCAGATCTATACTTGGCCTTATAAATCACACATCATGGGTGTGTACAGTAAAGAGGTATGAGCCTCGCTGCTGGAAAGATGAGCTGGGAATTTTAGCATCTAGTGAAAGAATTTGGCATTAATTTGGTAGAAAATAAGAAGTCACTGCAATGGGGAGGAAGCATTTCTCAGAATCAGAAAAAAAAAGATGTGGGAATAAATAGGGATAAAAAGTAGAGGAGGCAGAGAGGAGGCCATCACAGTGATCCAGGCAAAAACAAAACATAGTGGAGTTATAAGGAGGTTAATAGTAAGAAGCAGGAATGAGAAGCAGACTATCTAGAAATGGATTTAGAAGGAAGTTGTTAGTAATAAAATATGGGGCTCAGAGAAATACAGAGATATAGGTGTTTCTGCAGGTGTTAGCCCTATGGCTGGAAAATGGTTCTGTCATTTAGAAAACAAGAAAATAATAGAAAACAAAGGACAAAAACAGGAGAACTGTTCCAGAAAGGAGCAGGCAGCCCTTCGGTATGCTTTTTTTTTTTTTTCATACATACTAAGTAGTTAGTTTTGTACATAAAGTGTGTGGAAGACCTAAATTCATTGATCCAGCAGACTTAGAAATATATAAACTAGAGTGGGAAGGAAAAGTCAAAGCTAGAGAAATACTTTTCAGATTCATCCAAAGTAGGAGATCCTTAGGGCGTCAAGAGTGAATGGCATTTCCAAAGGGGATAATTATAGCAAGAGCAATACAAGAAGATAATCCCTGTGAAAAGCTTAGGATAAGGGCACAAGAAGAGTTATTCAGAGACTTCACAGGGAAGAAGCTCAGAACTGTGTGTGCAAGACACAGAAAAAGTTTCCAGATGGATAAGGAGTTTAATTGATGGTAAATGCAGTCGCCAAGAACTACATGGCGCCAGGTGAGCAGATGATGCTGACAAAGGTTACCCTCTCTCGAGATGAACATATAAGCACCAATAATAATTCCAGAAGAGCTGCTCTTTTGTATAGTAAGTGCTTAACAGTCAAAGCTTAAGATTTATACAACAGAAATGCCCATTTGATGTATTAAGGCAGACACTGGCTAAGTTATTAGCCATTACCTATGACTCTGTAAGACATGAAAATATTGGAAGAAATCCTAATTGGGGAGGGGGGACATTTCATCTGTTCAAGAAAGGTCATTACAGACATCAAGTATTGAATTTTAGAATAGTGCCACAGTGGACAGATACTTTATTATAACTCAAATAAGATTTACAAAGGACTGATTTGCTTGGGATTTCATCATTTAAAGTATCTTGCAATAAAGCTGACTCCATGGAAGGATATTAATCATATGCTTTAATGCTATTCTGTCAAATTGTTTTAATAGATATATTTCAATGGAGTTTTTATTTTTCAGATAAAATTTTTGGTCGATTTAAAAAAGAGTGTAAAGGATGATAGCAAAATGTTGCAGATCACATTTTAAATCCTGGTTTTTTTTTTCTGCAGCAATAATAGTAACTAATGATTGGTTTGAAATATATAATGTAGTAAACTCTTGACAGAGGTATGATTGGAAAATGATATATTCTGATTAATATTGTTAATCGCACACATGCTCTTTATAGGTCTCAAATTTTAAAAAACATCACACAAAAACCTTGGGGCATCTTTGGCAACTTAATGAGATTCGTGAATCTTGTGATACCATGGTTTTAAAACAAAACTACACTTGATATTAGGTTCTGTTCCGAGCTCTCCTTTCTAGTAAAAATATTTTCAATAATAACATATATTATTGGGCATTTTCATCAGACTTGAAGAATTTCAGATAAATCAATTATGTTCCATAAAGTTGATTGTGTTCAGTGAGTTTTATAAAGTGATAAAACCGATAACGTGCTTTGGAAAAGAGACAGCAGAAGAGGAAGGCAGGAGAGTTGTCCTGAGGTCACGCGTGAGGCAGGGATGGTCAGCCCTCAGAAGGTGAGGCTGGAGCAAAGCTTCGTGTCTGCAGAGGCCCCAGCTGAGACAACCCAGGCACTGTCTCTCTGTTACTTCAGAATCTAGATCCTGTAACACCAGGGGAGCTTTGGGGAGAAGCAGGTATATTCAACTAGGATAACAGTTCCGGAAAGGAGCAGACGGTCCTTTGATCATGCTTTCTGTGTCCTTAGAAGTGTTGGAGCAAAGATGAGGGATTTGCCTGCTATGGCCTTGGACTTGAAAGAAATTGTACCTGTGTGTGGCCATGAACCCCTCCCCTCACCAAAGCATGTTATTCACTGGAAATTCTATGTCACAAGAGGAAGTGGTGATTTGGTTCTGAGGCCTTTCACCTCTGGGAACATTTGCTTATCCGTGGGTTTAAATCCAACCACTGGCACTTGCAGCTGTGTCTTTGGGAGAGTGGTTTAACAGCCAGGTGCCCCCATCTGTAAGGTGGTGATTCGGTCCCTCCGGCATCATGATAAATGAGATTGTACAGGTCAAGCAGTTCAACTCGGTCCTGGCACACAGGACAGGCTCGTGTGGATGGTGCTGATCCTCACCATGGACATGACTTTGTTTTGCTTAGATGAGCTGCTTCAGAAAGAGCAAAACTACTCAGATGACGTCTTGGCCAACATGATCAGTGAACCGAGAATCAGTTATGGGAATGACGCGCTCATGCCATCTCTGACCGAGACGAAAACCACCGTGGAGCTTCTCCCCGTGAACGGAGAGTTCAGCCTGGATGACCTCCAGCCCTGGCATCCTTTTGGGGTCGACTCTGTGCCAGCCAATACAGAAAATGAAGGTAAGGGTCTCAGGACGGAATGAGAGCCTCTGGTATCTCCATTCATCTTTCCAAAAGTGTTCTGAAGGGTTGATTTTTGACAAGAATTTTTTAAAAATACTTTCTCACCAGGAGGTATTTTGTTGCTTCTGGGAAGAAAAAGGGTAATATTGAACTTGTGTTTATGAGACTGTGGTGTCGAATGCCCACCTTTGAAGAAAATAGACCTCTGGAAATCAGTTGACCCAGTGGAAAAGAAGGGTTGATTGGACCTGCAGCAATGGAGAGGTTTTATTTTTTTAATCAAAGATGATTTTTTTAGAACACGTTTTCTATAATTTTTCTCTTTTTCTTTATGTTATACATTTTTTGCATCATTTTTCATTTTTGCACAATGTATGCATTTTCATCTTGGTTATGGTCCTCATACAATTCTCAGCCCCCTTGTTTTGATCCTACTCCTTCCTCCCCCATAGTGTGTCTCTGGTTTATAGTTGCTTGATTTGATATTGATTTGATATTGATACTGATTTTTACTTTAATTGAGGTAATATTTGGATACCCCCATCAGTATTTCCACCATAGTGTACCCACCACCAAATCGTCCATAGGCCACCACCACCATAGTCTAAATGGAGATTTAAAAGGCACCAAAATAGTCATCCGTTAGTTATTCTAGTGCCTAACATTTCAGAATGCATTATTAAATGTTAAAGGCAGAAATACAAAACCACTTATGAGTAAATTGTAATTTTACTTAAGATTTACACAATTGACTTTAGATTGCACACATTTTAAAAGTTAAATTTAAGGAGCTGCAACATTAGAAGTACATTGTCCTAAATGTTTTTTCCTATGATAGTTCAGAAATTTTTTTCTGTCAACAAATTTGTACCATGAGTGACATTCTTCCAAGAGATTTCTCTTTCGAAATTTTCAAATATCTCTCTAGGAGAGAGCATTTTTTTATTCTATGTCAACATCTTCAGAAGTATGAAATTAAAAACACCTTGATTTCTAGGTACTAGCAATGTGTTTACACAATAGGATTTTACCTGTAATGGTCTTTGTTAATGAAATATGGTTATTTGTAGTTGGATACTTGAAAAGGCAACCAGTGTACTCCTCAGACTAAACCTAACTTTGATATTAGTCTGTCAGTGCCTTGGAAAAGACTTTTAAAGAACTATGGCAGAAAAATATTTTTTTAATTAATAATTTTTAGCTTTATTTCACTTGAACTTTTTATTTCTTTTTTATTTCATATATTTTTACATCATTTTTCATTTTTGCATAATGTATGCATTTTCATCTTGGTTATATTCCCCATATAATTCCCACCCCCCTTGTTTTGATCCTACTCCCTCCTCCGCACCCCCTGTAGTGTGCCTCTGGTTTATAGTTGCTTGTTGATTTTGATTTTTACTTTATTATAATTAGTAAGAAAAATATTTATTAATAGTGTTTTCATAATGTTGAATAATCACTCCAAATTTGTTTTATTAATTTGAAAAAGGGCATCGTAGAGTAATGATATCAGATGTGGACAGCAGTGTTACTTATGACATAAAAGTAATGAAGACTTAGCAGACTGGCTGTGGGTGATTATATTTGGTTTCCATTTTTATTGTTTCAGCTTGCTGTCTTCCTCTTCCTCTTTCCCTGGCTCCCTCGTAAACATATCCGATAATAATTTAGAGACTGCTTCAAACATTTATATTGTCTTTGGATCAAATCACAGGAGGAGATTCAGACCCATTAAAAAATTAAGACTACATTGATAAAAATAATTCTTAAAGGAAAAAATTGTAAAGACATTTAGTTATCAAAGACCTGGGTAACCTCCACTGAAAATCAACAGTATGCACCCCTCCAGTCGTAATGACACCCCAAAACACCTCCAGACTCCCCACCATCCCGCTGGGTAGTTCCGCCCAACTATCCTGACAATGTCCGTCAGAGTTTGAACTCCAGCTCTGCTCTGTGATGCTGGGCAAATGACACAGCCTCTCTGGCTGCTTCTTAGTCTGTAAAAGAGTGGATAATAATTGCTAGCTCAAAGATAGGGTGTGAGGGCCTCCCTGGTGGCCTAGGGGTTAAGTCTCAGCACTATCACCCTGACAGCCTGAGTTCTATCCTGGGCCAGCAAGCTGACCCACATGGCACAGCAGACCACTCCTGTCTCGCCCGCTGCTCCCCTCAGCAGTTTACTTCAGTAGATCTGTCTGCTCTGCTCCCCACTCTATCTCTGGTGAATCCTCTTACCCCCAATAGTCTGGCCTACACCCCAGTTATTCCATGCAAAAATAAATAAATAAAATTTAAAAAAAACCCACAACTAGGGTATGAGTGTTAAATGAGATAGCTCTGTGCAGAGTGCCTAGAGCATCCTAAATGTTCCGTTGTAGTTTTTTGTTTGTTGTTGATAATATTGTAGAACCAGGATCTGACTAGAGAGATTTTACCTGCTTGTCTCAAGGAGAATCTGCATGGCCCAAAAGTATATCCTTTTAAACAATGAATGTAACCAGCCCCATCATGAGGCAGTCATAAAATTGTTTCCCTTCTCTCCTCCCCTTCTCCCACGTCTCCCTCTTCCAGAACCTTGTTTCCTGTTAAACTTACAGACACGTGCTCATACACAGAGCTACTGAAAATATCTGAAACTCTCAAAGGATTTCCTTTCATTGTTCTTGCAGTCTTTATCGTAACTTCAAATGTTTACCGAAAATCTATTTTTTTTCAAATAGGATCAGATGTCCAGGCATTCTTTTAATTTATATTGGGGGAAAAATCATAAACCCAGTTTTCCAATATTGTAGGCTCGTGAAGAGTTGTGATTTGCACTTAAGGAATTTTTAGTCCATGCTTTTCCAGTTCACAAAGCCTAAATCATTAACCCCATAACAAGAGCACCATGGAGCCTCTCCACAGAGCCTGTGCTCTTCACTCCCCTGTTTTGACCCTACAGAGACTACAGCTAAGGGTAGAAGTCAAACACTGATTAACCACAATGTAAGAAAATAAATAATTTTTTTAATGCTAAGTATTTAAACTGAGGTGAAGTCATTGCTTCTAGAGCTGTTGTCCCCATGTGCTGAGACCATCTGTATGAAAGCACAGGTGTTTGTGCCTGCATTTTCACGGCTCCCTGAGCAGGCCAGCCACAAAGATCAATAGTGCAGTCACCACCAGAAAGTCTCCTTGGCCAACAGTCAGCTTCTTTGGATGTAATACATCCACCTCATATTCCTGTTCTTAAAGAGGCACAGCAGGTCTTGTAAGACTATTTGCAGAGAATTTGCCGCTGGTATATTTGTGCTTTGCTATAAAAGAAGCAATGAGCAAATCCATTTAAATGGTGAAATGGAGATTAAATAATGACCTTTATTAACCCTGCAATTCAGTCCTCTCTTATCTAAGTGTAAACCTGGTTTGTGCTGGTGCTGATACCACCGTAGACTGGTGCAGTCATTGTACTAGGTGGCACTGAGCTTCGATTTGGTCTGTTTGAAGGAACACAGAACTAACAAACTCAGAAGGAAGTATGTCTTTCTCACCTCTCGTGGGAAGGATTTGATTCAAAGCTACTGAAGGCAGGGGATTCACACATTTCTGTTTATGTTATATTTTAACTGCTTAAGAGGATCTGTTTATTTTTAATTTGCTAAATAGCAATGTAAAGTGTCTTAAACAGTACAAATTTTTTCTAGTTCAGTGCGTGATGGTCCATTTGAAAAATGAGGACGTATCTATAGTGGATTGGGAAGTAATGTACAACTTTGTCTTTTTGATATATATTCCATCTTGTGTATTCCTATAATGTTATAATTGCCCTTGAAAAATAACTTATTGATGCCTGATCTCTGAACACAAGCATTAATTGAAACCAGCCTCAAATGTTAAAACAGACTAGGGTTTAAGTCACTAAATCTGTTGTTTTATCTTCCCAGGAAGTTAGAAAAGGTTTTATTACTGTTTTCAAATAATAATACAATTGGAGGGAGGAGGTCTCTCAGACATTTTTTGTGTACACATGTGATGCTTTTTATTGTTCCCTGGAGTAATGGAATATCGCTTTATCACCTCTAATGTTCATTTACATTTGTGAGCACATGTGAGCCGTGGACAATCCTGTTTCCTGATGTCACACCTGAGTCCCAAAGAGCATGGCTTGCCCAAGATCAGAGAAAATAAGCAGTGGCACTGATGTAGTCCCTGGGCTGAACTCCAACTCTCTAGCCCAAATTTAAAGCACTCATCCAAATGTTTGCCCAAGTCAAATATGGTTTCTGATGATGTAACCCTTGGTGTTTGTGATCACCACTTAAAGTTCCTTTTTCGCTCTGTGAGTATACTTTGGGATGTCCTTACCTTTCACTGAAGCATCATTTGGGGCCTTTATGGATAGGAAATTCTCACTAAGCACGATAATCCCTGTTAACTCCATATTACAAGGAATAATAAAGACATTCCAATGCATTGATGCAGATGGGAAACATTATTCTTCAAGTGTGTTTGTGATTTTTTCTGATACACGAATAAGATACAAGACATTAGCCATCCTCACAGCCATCATTGCTCTAGGCTAGTTCAGAAATGGGATAGTTCATGAATGCTGTTTTAAAGTACTTGAGTTTCTGAAACAGATTTCAAAAATGACTTATTCCTCACTACTGTGAGAACACAGAAATGTTCCTATTTCTATTTTGCATGTGAAGGAACAACTCAGACCTGGTCCTTTGCCCAAAGTCACCTACACTCTCACCTTTAGGTTTCCATGATACAGAGCCTGGCCATTCTGTGTGGCGCCACCAGTCTCTACAGGACAAAGGACCAAATTACCATTCTCTTTTGATTCATCCAGCTAGATGTCTTACTATCCTCAGAAACATTATTTTCTAATGAATACTTGACTTGCTGCCACTTTCTTTCCCCACAACATCCCTGCCTACCTGGCGTTCCCAGTCGATTGGGATTTACAATGCACCTTGCGGTGCTGTGTGCCGCAGAGAGCCATCTGGGGTTATGGAAGTCGGCCCCAGAAGCCACCCCTCTGAGCTCACCTTGTCTTCCCATCAGTGCCTTTGCTCACTTTTCTCTACCTTCTTCCTTTTATACTTCCTAGACCTTACCAAAGAGACTTATTCCCTCCCGCGGCTTCATTTGCCCTTTGTCCCTGCATTAGACAGCTTGTTTCTCTCCCTTGCCTTTTTCTGTAACGCTCATGTAAGTTCAAGGAAATAATTTCTGAGAGTGGAAGCACTTTGCAGGTGCCACATCCTGGGAAACAACAGTGAACATAACTGGGCCAGGCTGTTTTCTTTGGCTCCAACCCAGAATACACACAAAGAAAAAATCATCAAAGTCCACAAATATGAAAGGAAATACTCGAATGTCACACGTTCCAACTGTATGTCATCTGTCAAATAGAAACCAGCCTTTAAATACATGTTGGGGGTTGGGGTAGAGTTTCTGGTTTTACCTCCTCTGCCCTCAATCTAGGGACAAATTTGATTCACTTAGTGGCCAATTATGGGGTGAAACCTTTCTGATAAATTCCTATTTGCGTTTCTCCTGGGAATTTAAGAGTGTCCTTTTGTAGCTAATTAACTGTAAAATAAGATAAGATTGGACAGTCATGAAAGGAGGTGGCCAAGATTTCTGCCAGGATGCATATAATACATTTTATTTTTAATCAAAAGCCAGGGAACAATCCCTAAACTAGCTGAGAGGAAAACCCACGCTCCCCAGTCCCTCTTCTTTGATGTTCTGCGGGTGCTGGTGAGCATTTTTATTAGAAACTAAGACGACTGGCCCATCAGTAGCAATAAGCCTTCCCAGGGGCCAAACCCATTCGTGCTCAGGATTAACCCACTGTGGTTCTCTTCCAGCTGCTCCCTTTTTATCACTTGTGATTGCACGCGCTTCCCCTGCTCTGTGTTCAAGAGCCACAACTTACCATCTTGATTTGTCTTGTTTGCTTTCTGCGCCTCTTGCTTCCTGCACCAGTTGAACCCGTGGACGCCCGCCCTGCAGCTGACCGAGGACTGACCACGCGACCAGGTATCGATCGCCAGGTTTCCTCCCTCCTCTCAGCACCTTGCCCTTGAGCTTCAGCATGCCATGGCCCTTCCTTCTTCATGAGCCTCTGAAATGCAGATACGGAGAAAAGGAAGCGAACCAACCTTTTTAAAATTTGACTTTGCTCTTCCTGGCACTTGGCTTCTCAAGTTCCTAATGAAGTCATCTATTTTTTTCTTTCTCAGCTTTCCTTCCAACTTTGGGGGTTTTTCTTTCCCAAGTTGAAAGGATTGTAGGGAGCCTGTCTGTCCTCAAAAATGGAAACCCACAGAGATGCAGACTGTATCTGGGGGCAGTGGGTCCCTGCTATGAGCCCCTCACCCTTCTGTCTTGTTTGCTGTCTGGGAGGGTCCTTTTCTAAGTGACCCGGGCTCAGACTTCGTTCAGCTCCTCAAGTAGACATGACTTGTCAAAAATGTCACAGTTGGAATATTTGTAGAGTCCAGAAATATTAACGTTTGTTGGTTGTGTACAGTTATTCTGAGTGAGAAGCGCATACACAACAAAGAACATGATAATTTTGTATACAAGTCTTTTAATTTTTATACTACTTAAAACTCCCAGTAATACCACAATGGACACTTCTTTTTTTTACAGCCAGCATTTCCATGCAAAAAGAGAAGCAAAATTACTGAGCTGACAAATCTATACATACACGCACACATACACACTGGGGAGATTTTACTCACAACAGCACACCTCGTCCCATATTTTCCTTATCTACATAATGCCCCCACACAGCCATCGAGGGGTTGGCATCACTTGTAGGGGCAACATACAAGCTCCCCGCTCAGTCTGCAGCCGCAGGGCCAGGAGCGAAGCCTGCTCTCCCAAGGAAGGGACAAGCTCGGGCCACTCTGTCCCCAGCTGCCGTCACTGAGGAGGCACAGTCTGCCTTGGCGTCCTCCTGCCTCTGTGCTGTGATTAACAGGACAGCAGGGACCACAGAGTGACATGTCTTGACAGTTGATCTTGGTTTTATGAATCTCTATCTGCAGGGCTTTTCAGAAGAACTTAAATTATAGTGAGTCAGACACCATTTCAGCCCTTTTAATGTCATCCTTGTTGCCAGTGTCACACAAGTGTATTTCAAGTACGCTGGGAGTTGCATCCCCTGCCTTCTCGGGCACTGGCAGGGCCCAGGGCCGCAGGTCAGTTCTATTCTAACTACAGGCACAACCAGCTCAGCTTGGTCATTTGCCTCAGGCCTTTTTCCATGGTGCTCCTCCTATATTTTTAAGGAAAGGGCTGCCCGTTGTCTACAACTATGAAATGGGATTTAGAAATACCTCTTCAATCAGTATCATTAAGCTCCAACATTAGCCAAGCTGGGCCAATACCTTCCTCTTGAAATATCTGAGAGAGGGTGATATCACCAACATCAATTTATTTTCCTTTTTAAAAAAAAAAAAAAATCTAACAGGAAAAGACTTTTCCAGACATCATTAAACAAAAACACTGTTTTAAGGAAAGAGCTAGAGAGTATATAGTTGGGAAGAGAACTTGCTGAAAGTCTGTTGAAACAATAGTAATATTTTATTTTGGTGTTTCATAAAGGCTAACATACTTCATGCAGTGGAAGGTAGAAAGAAATTAACTGGTAAAATCCCTGCTCTTGGGGACTTAGAGTCCCTAGTACTATAGAAGGAACATACCTCATGTATTTAGAAAGGTAGATGCCAGGCCTCCCTGGTGGCGCAAGGGGTTAAGCACCGCACTATGAAGCAATCTGAAGCCTCTGCAGCACGAGTTCGATCCCCAGCTGGCCAGGGAGCAACCCACATGGCACAGCAGACCTCTCCTGTCTCGCCCGTTGCTCCCCTCAGCAGTGTACTTCGGTCAATCTGCCTGTTCTGTTCCCCACTCTGTCTCTGGTGAATCCTCTCACCCCCCATACCTGTGGCCTGTACCCCAGTTCTTGTATGCATAAATAAATAAATCTTTAAAAAAAAAAAGGTAGATGCCATTGGAAAGTCAAGGAAATACAAAGCAACATAAAACATAAATCATGATGACTGGAATGTGAGCTGATGGGGCACTGACTAAGGTCGGTGTTAACCCAGCGCACTTTCTGGAGATGAGCTTTAAGACAGGTTTTGAAAGATTTGGACCACATTCAAAGCCTTGGGTTTCCCAACAGAAGAACACTTTAGATGGGAGAGAATGATGAGATATGAATGAGAAAAATTCTAGTTAAGGATGTTTATGAATAGCTGTATTTGCTGGATATATGCATTAAGACATACTCTATTTTTGTGCCTGTAGTGACTACTGATCATTTCTCCCCGCTATTTTTGCATCCCTGGTTTTAGTTCCTCATCATCACACTTTCTGAGATACACACTTGAGTATGACGCCAAATGCTATCTTCAGACTTTCCAAACTTAGAAACCCTTCCCAGGATTGTCATGGCTTGTCATTCAAGGGATGGCATGGTTTTTGAACAATCCCTTTTGTCACTCTGAAACAAGTCAAGAGAGCGTTTTCTGATAATCACAACAGGAAAATGGCTTCTCCTTGACTTCCGTAGCTCAACAGTCTGGACACTGTAACTTCTAGAATGTCATGTCTGGTAGGGAGCACAGTAATATCAGTTGGGATTGCTGGGCTTAGTGGCCATTACATCTACTCCCCTTGGCTGATTTCCAGAGAATAATAGACTCTCAAGGACAGGTTACCATTTGACCAGAAAAAAGAAAAAAAATACATTAGCAGGCTCTTCACAGGGGGTAGAAAGTACCCTTTCTGCTGTGATTTATTACCGCCCTTCTCCTGTGCTCATAAAGAAAACCAAGTCCTCGACCTCAGACATGAGAGTTTTCATGAAGGACATGTCTCTTCTCCCTCAAACGAACAGCATTCTCACTGCCTGGCATGACTTAAGAGAACTAGAGTTCCCAGGGTTCAGGGCAAATCAACACAGCTTAGAAAACACATCTGGGGACCTGTAAACAAAGGTCTCTACAGTTTGTTTAAAATTCCCTATCAGGGGCCTCCCTGGTGGCACAAGGGGTTAAATCTCAGCACTATGAAGCTATCCACAGCCACTGCAGCATGAGTTCGATCCCCGGCCAGGGAGCTGACTCACATGGCTCAGCAGACCTCTTCTGTCTTGCCCGCTGCTCCCCTCAGCAGTGTACTTAAGTAGATCCGCCTTTTCTGTTCCCCGCTCTGTCTGGTGAATCTTCCCACTACCCCTATACCTCTGACCTATACCCCAGTTCTTGTATACATAAATAAATAAATCTTTAAAAAAAATAAAGCTCCCTATCACCTTTCATTACATGCAAAATCAGCTCAATATCCCTGATGCTTCCCTATGAACAAACTTATTAATTTTCCTTTCCTTTTAATGTGATTTCCTTAATGTATAGAAAACCTTTTCACTAAATGTCTATGCAGGCTATACAAAGATGAACTAGCCAGGGCTCTTGCTGCTGAGAGTCTTGCAAACTCTTGAGCTATAATTAATTATTGGTTGTTCTGACTTGTTATATGAATTTGAATTTTTTCTTTTACTATTAAAAATATTCTCAGTATTCTTTCAGAAACAATCTGGACTCATAACATTTTGGAGAGTTTACACTTATTTTTTCAATGTAATTACTTGGTCCCACAAATCTAAAAGAAAAGACTTTCAAGAGGGTTTTCTTAAAAACTCAGAAATATATCTTTATAGTATGGCTAGATCCTGATGATAGGAAAAAGAGTACAGTATAAGGAAATCACTATATTTCTATGGGAATCTCAGGTTTTAATGGGCCTGTCTAAAGAGAAAAATACACATTGTGTAAGAAATAAAAGACTTAGTGTGACAGCTGGCTAAAAGTGAGTGTCCAGAAGATTAAATGGTTAGATGAATTGAGAATGATGAGAAGATGCTAATAATTCAAAGCAAGAAAATAAATAAGAATAGAGTCCTGCCATTCTCAGGGCAAGAGAGGAGCTCTGGAGGAGTCAATGAAAGACACAGTTCAGAAATGAGAGAGAAGAAAACTGTCCCACTTAGATTGTACTTCCATCTCTATGTCTACATAAAAGATAGGAAATTAAAGCCCAAAGTAGACCCAGAGGAGAAAAGAAAGCTGCAGTCCCTTGTATTAGTTACCTATTGCTGCATAACCAACAACCCCATAACTTAGCAACTTAAAACAACAACACATGTTTACATAAGTTGACTCTCATGCCCAGGATTCTGAACATGCTTTAGCTGGGTGGTTCTGGCTCAAGGTCTCCAGTCTCCCGTGAGGTTGCAGTCACCAGCCAGAGCATTAGGGGTGTGAGTGTTTGAAGCTTGGCTGGGACTGTTAGGAGTCTGTTTCCAAGGTGCTCGCTTACTTGGCTCTGGTGGAGGACACCTAAGTTCCTTGCTCTCTCATGGCTGGAGATTACAGTTCCTCACCATGTGAACCTTCCTTTAGGGCTTCTTGAGTGTCCTCACAGTATGGCGGCTGGCCTTCAGCAGACCCAGTGATCCAAAAGAAGGATCCAAAAGAAGGTACCCAAAGGTACCTCTTCGGACCTAGTCTCAGAAGTCATCCTCCATCACTAACATATATTCTATTCATTGGAAGCAAGTTTCAACATCCTATCCACACTCAGGAAAGGGGATTAAGTCCCACCTCTTGAAAAGAGGGGTAGCCACATATTTGTGCATACATTTTAAATCTACCAAACTTTTCTACCCAAGTCCAAGCCCTTATGACCCAGATAAATTATAAAGCTAAGAAATCATGAGGGTGTGACATGAGCCTGTACTCCTAAATCCTATCCAGTATTGTAAACCAACATTACCTTAATTTAAAAAAAAAAAATCAATTCATAAAGAAAGCTTGAAAGTGAAATCATAGAACCACTCTTTGATCTTTATAGACCTCTGGAGCACAGGAAAAGATCTGGAAAGACTGGGATAAGAAATGGTCTATTGTAAGAAGCAAAAGGGAGAGCTGATAACGTCATCATGTGCATGCCAGGTGTAAATCGACCTTGATCTTGGGTCCATGTCCAGATAAGTTATTAAATTGAAGCTTCTTGAGTATTTGGATAAGGAGCCAGTGGTATGTCCCAGCCTGCCTGGGGTCCCTGGGTCTTCTCAAGCCCTCCTCCTTTGCTCTTTTCATTGACAGGTGTTAGACTAGCACATCCATATAGATATTGTGCTTTTGAATGTCAAGGAGGTGACAGATTTCACAACACCCGTAGACAAGATTGTTAGAGTGACTAGATGAAGAACGAGAAGTAATTCCTCTGTTGTGTCAGCTGCTCTGCGTTGGCCCCTGGGTGGGAAGACTGGAGAAGAGATGCTCTTTAAAGCCCTTTTCATCCTCAAATTCTGACTTTTGATATTCAAATGCTACAACATGAAAATATGCTTTGTACTTTCAGGTTTTTGATTTAAAAATGACTTGGCATTTGTTTTCAAGCTTCAAATTATTATTTGAAAAGTGAAATTCATTACAATGATTACTGTCAGAATCCTATAGCAATTAATAGAGAAGAGGTACTGTTATAAATTCTGTTAGACTCAAAGAAGTGCTTTCAGATATTATACAGTTCAACTCTATTCAGCTGATGAACCAATTATATTCTGTATCTATAACTAAATCACTTAACTGAATCAATGATAGGATTTTTACAGTGATTCACTGCATAGATACATGAACATGATTTATTTGTAATTAGAACAAAGCCCCAAAGTAGCAGTTTTGTTCTGCCAGGTAATTAATTCTCATTTTTAAAGTCTTTTATTATTTTTTTTCTGAAGGAATGGGAACACATGGGAAAAGACATATAATAGGCTAAACAATAAGCCCTTAAATCAAGCCAGCATATTTTAGGATCAAATTCTTGCCAAGTTAACCAGTATTTAACTTCTGTTTTTCTCTATTTAAAAAAAAAAAAATTATAGCATGTGTTTAAGGCAGTAGAAGCCTTAACTTTAGATTTCTTTAATCTTTAATTTCATTTTGTTTCAAATAGCTAGTAGTTAAGAATTTAAATACAGTGTGTCATTTTTCTTTAAAAAAAAATCATTAATCTATTTTTGTCTAACTTTAGGCCTAGGAAGAAGTTTGTGGTAGCCTTTGCATTGTAATGTTATTGTTTGTGGAAAAAATGAATTGCCTCCCCTGTGTCTTTTAGTTCTGGTCTAATGCTTGTGGTATCACACAGGTTCAGGGCTGACAAATATCAAGACTGAAGAGATCTCTGAAGTGAAGATGGATGCAGAGTTCCGACATGACTCAGGATATGAAGTTCATCATCAAAAATTAGTACGTACAATGATACCTATTAACCCTTATTTACCCTATGCCAGAAATCCAGTGGAGGAAAAGATAGAAACAAAAATAAGGGCCTTCCCTGGTGGTGCAAGGGGTTAAGTCTCAGCACTATGAAGCTATCAGCAGTCACTGCAGCACGAGTTCGATCCCCAGCCCAGGGAGGTGACCCACATGGTGGGACCGACCTCTCCTATGTCGCCTGCTGCTCCCCTCAGCAGTGCATTTCTGTCAGTCTGCCTGTTCAGTTCCCTGTTCTGCCTCTGTCTCTGAATCCTCTCACCCCCACACCTCTGGCCTACACCCCAGCTCATGTATGCATAAATAAAATAAATCTTTGAAAAAATAAAAATAAAAAATAAAATGCTTTCCTCTAGGAGTGTTGTGAAAATGTAAAGGGGTAGAAAGACTATGGGTTGTTTTTTTGTTTTTTTGTTTTTTTTTTTTTTTTTGTCCAGAAGGCAGCTAAGTTGACCCAGGATTTAACATAGAATTAATTTGTGATATAGCAGCCATGTTCCTTAACTTCCAGTCTGTATTCTAGGAAATCAGGTTTCTAATAGGCTTGTTTAAAGATCACAGTCTCAAACACCTGCAAAGCCACTGGTTTCACAGAACAGTTTTTATGGCTCTTTGCTAAAGTTTACCTTTGTGACTGTTCCCGGTACTGCTTCATCTCTCCCGCCTAACCCTTCCTTCCATACCCCCCATCCCCAACTTTCTTATAAGATCTCCTGCTGAGGAAGGTTCTTTGGGACTCTCCACAGTGAGTAGAGGCAGGAAGTAAGCAAGATTCAGATTGCTGTCAACCAAAGACTCGAGCAAGGCGGACAAAAACAAAACCAAATCCAACAGCCTTTTCAGACAAAATTGTCCCTTTCCCCAAATGTTAGAATTAGAGCAAATCAAAAATAGCAGCTGCCTCCTTTTGCAGGCATTTCTAGTCCTTCTATAAATCCTATGCCAAAGGATTCAGATAAATCCAATGTTGCTTTATATTAAGGTTCCTTCCATCTTATGAGCAAGCACAGTAAGGGGGTTAAATTAATAAAGATAGTTTTACTGCATATTCAGTGATGAACAAAAAGTTGTAATACAGTTCTTACAGCCATAATAATACTTAAGGAGTAATTGCTCTCAGGCGTGTGTGTGTGTGTGTGTGTGTTTCCCTTTCAAAAGAAACTAGCTTTCCAATAGTCATAAATGTTTAAATTCAAGTATTAAGCTCAAAAATAATATACCTTTTAAGTAGTACTTAGACCTCTTTTTTTCTCTAAGTAATAGGAACAAATAGAAAACTGATTTGGGACTCAGATGTGCATTTTAATTCCCATCTTTTTATGTAAAAGCACATTTAGTTTTTTGAAGCATGGCTTTTACCAGGTTAATCCAATACCAGTTATTATAGAATCAGGGGTATTCTTGAACTGATGGATAGCGAAGAGGTTAAAAACATAAGGAACTGCCAAAAGAGTGGGTGCTGGTGGGGCTCAGAGCTGAAGGAGTATGTGCAGATTGCACTTTCTGGTTCTTGTGTCATAAAAGCCCATCTCTGCAATTACACCAGCTCCATAATGTGACAGTGACTAATGGCGGCAGCAGCAATTAGGAGAATCAGCTCCCTCTACTGAACTAGTTGATAAGATAATGTACTATAATTAGTGCAATGAATATTACAAAATTACAGTATTTTCTTAAAGATATAGGAAGATGTCCAGACTTGCATTTATTTCTGATTACCTCATCCTGGTATCATTTGTTAATTAATGATTTGCTTTCGATAAATACGTTGAGCTAGCATATTTGTTGAAAAGGGGGAATAATTATGAACCATTCCCAATTTTGCTGCAAAAGGGCCATGAGTAATTTGGAAAGGTGCATTATTTGCTGTATTTTATGTTGACTTTTTATACAGTTGCAGTGTCAGTGCTAACAGTGAAAATTGGTCATTTACTATCATGATTATATTAAAAGCATATTTAGGAGAACTATTCTTACTATTCAGTGTAACAAAAGCTGTATGTGTTTAGCAGAATGTTTTCTTTAATACTCGATCTCCTGTAAGATCATCTCCTTACATAGCAAGATGATAAAAGTTATTTTATAATTCCATTTAAGTAAATGTTGAAAAGCAGTGATATGTGGTATAGTAAGTTGATCACACTGAATAAATAGCCTCTTTACCATTTTCTCAATTCTTTATATATTTCACCCAAATAAGCAGCAGGAATAAAGCAGCACTGTTGGGTTTCTGGACACAGCATATTAAGAAAGCATGTTTTATAGGTGACTATTAAAATTCTTGTTGCCTGTCCCTTCTTCCTTTTGAAATAACTGTCTTTTAAGCATTATTCTTCTCAAGGTTAATTAGTGGCCCCACTGAATTTTATGGCTAAAAGTAGGGAACAAAATGTCTTCTGTTAAACTCTTGTTGCAAAATTCTTGTTCTTGTGTATTACAGATGTCCCTCTAGGGAACTGGGATGTTGGGTTTGAACATCCCTAAGACCTGATTGTCATGCGTCAGGTCTCCCAGTTTTAACCCTGTGACTGGGGAAGTGCTGGCTCCTTTGATAATCAAGGTCACTCTCTTTTCAGTCTTGCTACTTCCAGGAGCCACCTTCCCAGCTCACACCGAACATACCTCCTGTCAAATGCTTTCAGGTCCCTGAAGGCTTTATTTTGCCTTTTAGGTACATGTGGGAAGGGAAGTTTTCAGTAGAACTGGGGAGCCACATGTACCTCATCCTATAGCTTCAGATGCCATTCTTAGTAAGTAGAATGTATGGTTATTTTTCAAGGAGCTCCTAAGAGAGGAGGACCAACTCAGGAAACACAAGATAAACACTCGCACTTTTCACATACCCCACATCCATGTCTACCGCCATTGTAATTCTTTCCCTTGATTTGTTTTCCAGGTGTTCTTTGCAGAAGATGTGGGTTCCAATAAAGGGGCCATCATTGGACTCATGGTAGGAGGTGTTGTCATAGCAACAGTGATCGTCATCACCTTGGTGATGCTGAAGAAGAAACAATACACGTCCATCCATCACGGCGTGGTGGAGGTAGGTAAACTTGGCTACATGTCTGCAAGTGGAATTAAAGATGACGAGGTGAGGTGCCTCCCCTGGTGGCGTAGCGGTTGAGCACTGGGCTGTGAGGCTGCCCGCATCCTCTGCAGGGCAGGTTCATTCCCCGGCTACCGGCGAGGGTCCCACAAAAAAAAAAAAAAGATGACAAGGTGAAATTCTTGCTTGGCGTTAGTCTAGGGATCATCGAAGCATTTCCTCTTTGGGGGAAAAAAACAGATTCCTGACTGGTGTCAAGATGCAGGTATTGCCTTGCTTTGGTTTTTATTCATTCCACCTATCACTGCTATGATCAAGGCACCGGACTGTGTGCTGCTGCCTCAACTTCTTATAATTTGTATTGAAAATCAAAATAATACTAAGAACACCTATTTAAAATAGTCATGATGACCCTCAAACATGTCAAAGGGAAACAAAACCAAATCAAATCAGCAGAAGTTAGAAATGAAAAAGGAAGTGGGAGATAGCTTTTTCAAAATTAACCTGAATACATTTATGACTGGAGTTTGTCTTAATCTGACCTCTAACTAAAACCAGGCCATAGTAAATAATACAGATTTTCAGTAAAGAATCTTACCTCTAAAATTCCACAGAAAATCATAGGCTACCAAGAGGGTGAGCAAAATAGACGAGGGTATCAAAGTTGTCGCACCTGTTACCGCACATCCACCTGAAATGGCTTAGTTTCAAGGTGCTAGTGTCATCACACTCGAGGCAGAGGGAGGATCCCCCCAGATGACAGGCACGTTATGCTTCCTAGAGATGGTCCCCAGGGGCTGACCTGTGACAAAGGTAAGTGTAGGCAGCACAGAAGTGCTGTGCTCCCCAGCAGACAGCTGTGCCACAAGAGTCAAATAGAACTCCTTAAACCCATGACATGAAATATTGAAAATTAAGATAAAACTTACAAATATGTTTCTTTCATGCATATCAAATACTATTTTGGTGCTGGTCGGGTCAGGAACCTCCAGTCTATGAAACTGTTAGGAAACTCAGAGAAAGTGAATGAATACAGCTTGAGAAGTATTTTGTAGACATCTCTATCACTCAAATGGATTTTAAGTTTTTTAATTGAAGTCACATTTTGATCCACTATCTATTATGACATGGTATAATTTTCAGGTGTGCATCATTACACTTCAATGTCTGTATATATACATTAAATTCACTATTAGCAGCCCCATTGTGTCCTACACCATATACAATAGACCCCTTTTATAAGGTTACCCTCCCCTACCCACTGTTCCTTCTGCTAATCACTAGTTCCTTCTGCTAATCACTAGTCATAAAGTTGAAAATTTTATTTTTGGTTTATTTGATTGTTTTATTCCGTTCATTCATTTTGTTTCTTCATGACCCACATGTTTGTGTTTTTGTGCCTTTCTCCTTATTTTACTAAGCACAGAAGCCTCTAGATCTGTCTCATTTCATAGATGATAAAAGAGACCCAGGCAGAAGAGGCATTCACTCAGGCCAAGGTTAGGGTCCAGATTTCCCCATATTCTGCCCATGCTTTTTCCATCAGAAAAAAGTTCAAATATTTCACTAATCTCAAGGAAACGTGCTCCACAGTAGTCTTGATTCTAGGAAGGCAGAGCAGTTTAAATAAATTACATGCGTGGCAAAGCCAGAAACCTCATTGTGTTTAGCACTTTAAAATCTCCACAGACAACTTGTTTACAGGAGCTGCTGATGGAAATTGGTTTTCAGTCTTATTTCCCTGGTCCACAGTGGTGTGGCTATGCTTCATAAAGAGCATGAAATGAATGAGACGCAGGGAACAGGTAGCAGCATGAAAAGAACTGAATGGCCGACCAGCTAGAGTGTGGGCCTGTAACGCAAGCAGTGACGACATCATTGAACGTGGGGTATTGCTGTTCATCATCATCATCATCTTTGTCCTCTGAAACTGCTTAAGGATTATTATTATAGGGTTAGTTTATCACATTTCTATCAAAACTTTCTCTTTTCATTTTAAGTCCATGTTCAGGTAAATAAAAATGTCTGCATAATACAATGGTGTATTTTAACTACCTTGAGCTGCTGAACCTACCCAAAAGGCAGCTTGCTTCTTTCTTTAGTTGTATTATTTTCTTTCTTTCTTTTTTTAAGATTTATTTATTTATTTATACAAGCATTGGGTACAGTCAGAAGCGTGGGAGGATAAGAGAATTCACCAGAGCCAGAGTGGGGAACAGAACAGGCAGAGTACCGAAGTACACTGCTGAGGGGAGCAGGGGGCATGGCAGGAGAGGTCTGCTGTGCCATGTGGGACCCTCACCGGCGGTTGGGGATTGAACCAGTGCTGCAGAGGCTGTGGGCAGCTTCGCAGCCCAGTGCTCAACCTCTGCACCACCGGGGAGGCCCTAGTTGTATTATTTTCAGTTGAGGTCACATAGTATACAAGACTGTAAAGGATTAGCAGTATCGGATCACACCCTTCAGATGCATGTCACCACAGCACGTCTACCACTAAGACACCCATGATCCTCCACCACAGCCATTGTGCCTCCTCCCTACCCCAGAGGCAGCTGATTTTTCACCAAAGTGCCCATTTTGGTGCCAAAGGCTCAGAGTCCGCTTGAACCACCATGATTAGGCCCTGTGGTCTGGACCACGTAAACAGTAGAAATAATTTTCTCACAGTTGCAGAGGCTTGCTGTCTGATGTCAGCGGGCTCAGTTTCTTCAGAGGCCTCTCCTTGCCAGTCCATGATGGCTTCTTTGTGCCTATGAAGGTATCAGCAGCCACTGCAACACAAGTTCGATCCCCAGCCAGGAAGATGACCCACATGGCACAGCAGACCTCTCCTGGCTTGCCCGCTGCTCCCCTCAGCAGTGTATTTCAGTGGATCTGCCTGTCTGCTCCCCACTCTGTCTCTGGTGGATCTTCTCACCTCCTGCTCCTCTGGCCTATACCCCAGTTCTTAAATGCATAAATAAATAAATCTTTAAAAAAAAAAAAAAAGACAGCAGTTGTATTGGGTGGGTCTACCCTAGTGACCTCCATGAACCTTAATCACCTGTTTAAAGACACTGTCTCCAAATACAGCCATCTGTGAGGTACTAGGGTAGAGATTTCAACATCTGCATTTGGACAGGACACAGCCTAACAGAACCTGGGGACACGGTGCAGGAACTCGAGGCTCTCACTACCTCGTCCTGCCTTGCATGGGCACGAGCCTTACCAGGTACTTTTTTAAAAGGACACATGTCCAGGCCCCACCCCAGACCTCCGGAAACAGCCTTTCCAGATGGGAGACTGGAAATCTGAGTTTAAAAATTTCGCAGCTAAATCAGGCATGCAGTTGGGTTTGAGAATCACTGGTTTAGAGTATTTAGCCTCCTGCTTTTAGTTTTCTGTCTAAGCAAACCTTAGGGGTAGAAAGTGATCTCTCTTGTCTCCAAGGTAAATGCTTGCCTTTGAAGCCTTCTCACAGTGGCCTAGATCAGTGTTTCTTTTGGTTAGTTACCAAGAAAAGGCTCCTTAGATTTGTAATGTCAGAAAAAATGTTAACATATTGACACAGATTCTGCAAAAAAAAAAAAAAGTTTACTTTTAATCCAGGAAGCTTCCTGGAAAGAAGCAAAATTATGCAGAAGTTGATCAATTCTTCTCTAGATATTCATTCTGTGAGCTATTTGAGAGCAACCAGAAACCAGAAGAATGAGTTTCTTTATTTGCTCTTACCTCTTCCTTAAAGATGTTGCTGCAAGCTTGAATCCATCCTTTTCCCTCTGGAGGCCTTTGTTTGTCTCCCTTTGATAAGCCACCCTTTGTTGAGCTCATGTGGGAACAGCACAGAGCAGAACTTCATCTACGGTGTTGTCCACCATCCCTGCCCTCAAAAAGGTTCTAGTCTAGCTGCGTGGTTGAATTTGGACACCAAGAACTACAACCCAACCCAGGCATCTAAGTTCCTCATGTAGCCCAGGTAAAAAGGTAGAGAGCTGTTCAGAGTATGCCAGAATCTATCCTGAATGGGAGTGATTCTCCAGAATGTTCTCCTGTGTTAGCGGCCTCACACTCAAGTGTAAGCACACATTTACTTCCAGCTCTCAACCTGCTCCTTTCATGAGCAACCTCACAGCACCAAGAAGCAAACATAAATGACTCTTTCCTGATAGCCTGACCTAAGTCTCTCCGGACAGACTACAACTATGCTTCATGCCATCAGTGCCTGAAAAAGAAATCACAGTGAAAACAGTGTGTCCCAGAAGTCTCTTGTTCTTAAAGTGAGAGATTCCTGCAGAGATGCAGGAATGAAAGCAACCCTGGTATTTTTACTAATGGGGTTGTTAGCAGTTGGAAATAAGCACTTGCTAGTTTTTGTTTGCAAAATCATAAGCAATAAATACTGATTTAATGGCTTACTCAGCCCAAGACCAGAGATTGACTCTGTAAGCCTTTAGCCACACTTTCCTGAGAAGGCGACTGACCTTTCTGTGCACCTCATGCCAAGACATGCTGCGACACGCTATCCCTCGATCATGCTGCTTCCCAAATGCCCCCCATGGCTGGTGACGCAGCTTCCCAGTGCCAGCTGGGTTCTTCCTTGCTTTTTAAGGTCCCGAGAAGCCCAGTGACCCCAAGTTCCTTTAGAAGCTGCTGGGATTTTTCTACATTGATATCCTTTGACACTGGGTATTGAAATGTATCTCGCAGCAGATGAAAACATTGCAGATAACTAGAACTCGCCAGAAGTCACCCTGCAGTCATCTCATTGATGATCCAAATTAAAGCAGAGTTTCTTATTTAGATATTTGTGAAGCTACCATGTAGGGCTTTTCCTGGAGACACCAAAAAAACATCTTTGGGGTCCTTTTATCCATAGGAAGTTGCCCCACCCATGAAGGTCCCTGACACCTGCTAATGTAGGTGTTGTAAGTTGTTGGGAAGACTGGTCTGATTAAAGGAGCATGCAAAGGCAACGAGAAGGGAGGGTGGACTCAAGTCTGCCTGTGGCTCAAAGGGAATAGAGGGGAAAAAACTGGATGTGCACTGCAAAGAAGGTGTCGAATATTATTCCAAAGGATCACAAAGGAGTTTGAGAGCCTGCAAGAGGAATGAGTTCATGTCGGCAATAGATGGAGTTGAACAACTAATGGAGAGCGGGGGTTGCAATGACGAAAAAGAATGTGTATACAGTGGAGCAGAAAACCTGGGTTTTCACTTGGAGGGAGGTGGGTAGTCACTTGGGTGACTTGGGTAGTCACTTGGAGGGAGAAATGCTAACTGGGTAGTCACTGGGAGGGAGAAATGCTAACTTGAAATTTTATTGCTTTTCTTTAATGGATCACTAACTGGGTTCTTAGGAAATTTAGAGCACCAATCCTTGAGGGTAAATTTCATGGGAGAGAGCAGACATTTGTGAGACCGCGGCTTTCTGATCCCCCTGGACTGCTCTGTCACCTGGTGTTTCTCCTTCTCTGTCAAAGATTTCACTTTTCTGGTGTCTGGTTATGCAGCTGCTTCTTGATGTCAGCTCAGTGAGATGTTTTAGGGTCTTCACACCAGTGATACTAATTTTAGGGGAGGTGGCGATGACACATTTCTGGTGTATCTTATGCACCAGATCTCAATTGAGGGACAGGGTCCAGTCCCAAGTAGCAGTCACTGCCCAGCTGCTTCAAGAAAATCATCCTCATGCCTCTGTGATGCCCAGTGAGGCTGGTTAGGACGGTCCAGAAGTGACGCAGCTCACAGTTTCTCACCTACCGGCTGAAGGCCTCTTGCTATGGCTCGACTGCTTTCTAGGTACATCTACAGTGGGATGATTCCTAAACACTGCAGAGTTTAACCACTTGGGCACTGCCATCCTGGTCACCCCCAGCTGGTTTTGTGACAGTAGCAAGAACTTTCTCCTTGGCCTTCCCAGTGGCACAGCGGGTTGAGCACGGTGCTGTGAAGCTGTCCGCAGCCTCTGCAGCGCAGGTTCAATTCCTGGCCATCCAGGGAGATACCCACATGGCGCAGCAGACCTCTCCTGTCCTGCTCCCCTCACCTTTGGTCCATCTGCCTGTTCTGCTCCCCACTCTGTCTCTGGTGAATCCTCTCACCCTCCCGTGCCTCTAACCTGTACCCCAGTTCTTCTATAAATAAATATTTTTAAAAAAAAAACTTCCATTTTTAAAAAAAAAGAACTTTCTCCTTTTTCTTTTCAGTCCTGGATGCAGCTACTGAGTATTTTCTCTCCTACGTGGCCTTTCTGGATACACAGCAGATCAGGAGTGTCTGCACATCCCTCCCATGAGGGCAGGGTTTTGGCAGGGTGGGGCTCCTCCTTCTTTGGGGTGTTGGCCTTGGCCTTCTTAGCCTTGCCACCAGTGTCAGCTTTACCTGGCGTCGGGTTTCTTCTCTTGTAGCCTCCTTCTCAGCTTTTTTTAACCCGCCATCTTGCTGGATGGGCAAGAGAACTAAAAAGCCTGTTTCTAGTCAATAAGCTGTTTTCCTTGCTTTCATTTTCTTCCCATATCACTGGCCCCTTTGATGTGCTTACATTCTGCTGTTATTATGTACACTCCAGTTTTCTTATCCTTCTTTTCTTGTCCACCTCGATGACCTGAAATGGAGAAATCATAGGGACCAATATTCTGTTGTTTTTGCCCGACTCATTGCATCACAGACCCCCTGCTGCTGACTCTCCATCATAAAGTGGTGTGTGGGGCTCCCACCTCTCCTGCAAGCCTAAAGTAGCAGCAACAGAGATGGAATGAGGAAGGACTGGACACTAGGGAAAGCCAAACAGATTTACCGCTACAGTCAGGTAGTTGAGCTGGAAACTCCTCTGGATATTGGGAAGGAATAAATGTCTCCAGAGGATGGAAGTCAAGCAGGAAAGAGTAAGAAGAGGACATGAGCCAAAGAGTCCTGGAGAAGTCTGCTCAAGGCTGTTTTCAGACACGGCGGATCAGTCTGATCCACAGCTCTCGACAGGGTGCATCTGCTGCCGTCGTCAGCTGAAAGTGAGCCACGATGTGGCGCCAGGACCCCCAGGGCCACTCATGAAGACAGAGTGTCCCAGCGGAGATGTCAGATCAGCAGCGCTGCCACCTAACTGATGCGTCTTCATCTCAGCGGGTGACAGATGCTTTTGCCTGCTGGGTGGATGGGGATTCTGCCCCTGACGTCACTGATCTGTCATTCCTTCCAGCACACACACACACACACACACACACACACACACACACACACATGCATGTTCCAACTCCCCCCCCCCCCCGCCCTGAGGGGTATGACAGCGAGGGACATGCGAGACCCTGGTGCACAAGGATATAGGAGGGCAGCCTCTGCTTGGTGGCCCACACCGATGCCCTAGCTGCGCTCTGATTACAGAGCCGAGCTAGGAAGAAGGTCCCCCTGCATCCTCAGTGCTAGAACATGAGTGCTCACTGTTTTGGCTTTGGGGGGGCTGGGGATAAAGTGACACAACCCACACTCCTTGAGTGCCATTTTATAAAGATAATCCCTTTTCCTCTGAATCGGGAGCCCTTTGCAGTCTAAGTTCCACAGCAGCCCGCGCCGATCTGGCAAAAAAGGAGCTGCCCTCTCTGCAGCCAAGTGTAATACGGATTAGCAGTAGGAAGGGCCAAGAAGAGACAGGAGCGTTGGAAGCCTGGATTGCACACCGGCCTCCGCCTGGCATTCCCGGCAGCCTACTCTTCCTACGCAGACAATTTTGGCCTTTGATGAGGAGATAAATCATTAAGTTGCCAGGTGTCCCCTGCTCTTGATGAATGCAGATGACTGTTAACAGCCGGTGTGAGGGTTGACATGGCTCCTGGAAGAGATACAAGCATAATATTCCAATAATCAAGCTGCATTGTGGTGTTTTGGTTTTTTTTTTTTTTTTCTTTACATTCAGAAACATGAGAGTTTGTGCTTGATCTCCTAAGCAAGATTTTTTTTTAAACTTCAACATTCTTGAAATGTCAGCAAAGGGGTGGCCTAGAAAAAGAGATGCCCAAGTCTGAGTGGCATTCTGCTGCAGAGAGGTGGCTGCCTGGCTGGCAGATTTGGGGACCGATGTCATCTCTCCTTACCAGCGCTGATGTGTAATCGTGGCGTTGAACTTACAGCTCCGTGGCTGAGCGCACAATCGCCAGTAAAGGCACAGTGACCTCATTTGTTGACAACTATGCAGATCAAGGGAAGAGGAAGGGATGGGGGAAAACATCTGTGATTATCCTCCCAGGGACGGTAATGCTCAGCGGCATTGGAGCAGTGTCCTCTGAGTACCGACTCGGCGAGAGCGCGCCGTGGCATTATTCTCGGGGGAGATGCTCGCGCTTGTCACTGCATGAGTTTGAGGACTCGCTGCAGGATTGTGCAGTGGCTCTGACAAGGCTGCAGAGTGGGGAGTGTCCAAGAGGCAGGCAGCTGTCTCCTTGTGGGTGGAACCTGAGACTCAAGGTGTAGAACCCTACAGCGTGAGGGTGGCCTGCATCTTCCTGCTCCGCTGTGTTGGCATTAGCCAGATGGCAATTGCAACTCATGCCCAGACTAAAAAGAGTCAGCCAGTCCATGAGCTGGGGTCTACACAATAACCAACAGGGAATCGGATTACACGGCTGTTAGCAGTCATTTGCATTCATCAAGAGCAGGGGACACCTGGCAACTGAATGATTTATCTCCTCTTCAAAGGCCAAAATCAACTGCATAGGAAGAGTAGGCTGCTGGGAGGCAGGTGTGAAATCCAGGCTTCCACCACTCCTGTCTCTTCTTGGCCCCTTTCTACTTGGTATTCAGATCTTGTTTCTTCAGATAAATGCCCTGTTTTATTGAGATAATAGATGACATATAATATTGTATTATTCTAGACAGATAGCATGATGATCTGATGGATGCATATATTGTAAACTGATCCTCAACAGTAAAGTTGACATCCATCATGTCATTAGTTGCTGTTTTTCTTGAGAACTTTTAAGATTTGCTCTCTTAGCAATGTTGAAATACACAATACAGTCATATTAGCTATAGTCATCACATGGTAATGATGGTCCCAGAACTTATTTATCATCTTAACTGGAAGGGTGTATCTTTTGGCTGCCTTCACCCATTTTGTCCGCCATCTCACCTCCGACAGCCACCAGTCTGTTCTCTGTATCTATGAGCTTTGGTTTTTTTTAAAAACAATTCACATTTAATTGACATCATGTGATATTGTCTTTCTCTGACATATTTGACTCAGCATAATGCCCTCAAGTCCACCCATATTGTCACAAAGAGCTGGATTTCCTTTTCATGACTGAATAATATTCCATTTATATACCCCACATTTTCTTTATCCATTCATCCATCTATGGACACTTAAGTTGTTTCCACATCGTGGCTACTGTGAATAATGCTGCCGTGAACGTGAGGGTGCAGATATCGTCTTGAGATAGTGATTTTGTTCCTTCAGATAAATGTCCCGAATTGGAATCACTAGGTTATATGTCAGTTCTGCTTCAATTTTTGCAGAATGTCCATACTGTTTTCCATCATCGTGGCTGTGCCAGTCCTTCCATCTAAATTATTTGTTCATTAACAGGGTCTATCATGGCTCCTCAGACTCCCCCTCAACATGTTGCCTTAGCACAGACACACTTGCTCGTTGGGTTCAAGGGCAGCACTGCCCTGGAGCCCACTGTGGGAGGTAGTGGTTGTGCCAGGTCGGCTATGTCTGAAATAAAAGCTGCTTTAGGGACTGAATGTCACTGGCAACACTTGATGGTTTTCCACCTGCCAAGTTCTCCTGGAAATGATGTGGACAAGCCCAATTTTATGTCCTGAACAGAAGCTTTCCCTTTGAAGGAAAAACCATCATCTGGACAGATGTGTTATCTTTTCTCTAGAAAACCTGCTTCTTCATTCTGTTCATTCTCTTCTAATTCTCTTCACCTTTCTTTCCTATGGAAGAAAAAGAAATTTAAATAAACTGAGCTTTCCTTCATTCAGCAAAGAGTTAAGTACTTGCTCTCTTCAGTGCACAGTGAGAGGTACAGCAAATAAACCAGAGACTTGAACAGCCACGGCCCACATCACGGGACCCAGTACACCTTACCCCCCTCACAGGGGGAAATGCCAACCCCTTTGTCCTGTCAGGGAAAAACACTAGCTTCCAACAGCTGGCCGGAACCCAGAGATAAAGCACCTGTATCCACAGAGAGGACCTGATTTTAAACCTTTAGCCGTACTTCCATAGCACCTTCGTGCACTTCTCAAAGATTCTACAATCTCGAAGTTCATGTCCTTACTGTAGTTTTCATTTTTTTCTGTGCCAAATAATAACCCCTTTGAGATATGATACGTTTATTTTTCCCTGAGACAATTCTCAGACCTCTCTCCAGCAAATTATATTTAGTGAAAACAGAGACAAATAAAAATAAGCACGGGCAGATTGCCAGCAGTGATTGAGTGTTCTCCAGTATACCTTGCCGAATCTCTCTCCATGCTTCTTTTGGACTTTCTGTCTAGCTTACCATCAGTCTTTACAGTAAAAAAGCCTTCTATTGTGGCTTTTTGTCCTTTTTTTCCGCCCCAGCCAAGAGAGAAGAAAAACACACCCCAGGAGTATCCAGTTACTACTGAGTAGGGGAAGCAATCCCTGCAAACGAGAGGGCGCAGAGCAGACTTTTAAGCGCCACCTGGTGGCTGGATGGAGCACTGCGTAGCTCGTGGTCACAGCTCAGATGATAAAGTGGGAAAGACCACTCTGCCCAGACTGCCTTTTTTTTTTATTATTTTACATATATTTTACATCATTTTTCATTTTTATACAATGTATGCATTTTCATCTTGGTTAGGGTCCCCGTACAGTTCCAACCATCCTTGTTTTGATCCTACTCCCTCCTCCACCCCCTGTAGTGTGTGTCTGGTTTATAGTTGCCTGTTGATTTGGATTTTCACTTTATTATAATTAAACTGCTTATTTTTTTTACTCAATCGGCCTCATCCTTGCTTTTCAGGTGGATGCTGCCGTAACCCCAGAGGAGCGCCACCTCTCCAAGATGCAGCAGAACGGCTACGAAAACCCAACTTACAAGTTCTTCGAGCAGATGCAGAACTAGACCACGCCACAGCAGCCTCTGAAGTTGGACGGCCAAACCGTTGCTTCACTACCCATCGGTGTTCATTTATAGAATAACGTGGAAAGAAACAAACCCTTCTGTTTTATTATTTACTCGGTATATCGCCTTTTGACAGCTGTGCTATAACACAAGTAGATGCCTGAACTTGAATTAATATACAAATCAGTAATGTCTTCTCTCTTTACATTTTGGTCTCTACACTACATTATTAATGGGTTTTGTGTACTGTAAAGAACTTAGCTGTATCAAACTAGTGCATGAATAGACTCTCCTGATTATTTATCACGTAGCCACTTAGCCAGTTGTATATTATTCTTGTGGTTTGTGACCCAATGAAGTCCTACTTGAAATATGCTTTAAGAATCGATGGGGGTGCTTCGTGTGGATGTGGGAGTTAGCTGCTTCTCTTGCCTAAGTATTCCTTTCCTGATCACTATGCATTTTAAAGTTCAACCTTTTTAATTATTCCAAATGATTTACAGGTTTTTTTTCCACAACTGCATTTTGTTGTACAGATTGCAGCTTCTGCTCTCTTTGTGATATAGGAATTATGAGGATACACGTGTATTTCTTTGTGCCTGTTTTATGTGCACACATTAGGCATTGAGAATTGAAACTTTTTTTGTCCATGTATCTTCGGATCTTTGATAAAGAAGAGAATCCCTGTTCATTGTAAGCACTTTTACTGGTGGGGGGTGGGGGGGTGCTCTGCTGGTCTCAAATTACTAAGAATTCGCCCCAAAAATTTTCTGCAGGATGATTGTACAGAATCATTGCTTCTGGCCGTGATAGCTTTCTACACTGTATTACATAAATAAATTAAATAAAATAACCCTGGGCAAGAGTTTTCTTTGAAGGATGACTATAGACTCTTCAAATTACTATGGGGGTGGGAGGGGAGTAGGAGAGAAGCAGATTCAATTTCCTTTAGCCGGTCATCAACATTTTATTTATGATACCAAAAGATGAAAGAGGAAGAGGCAAAGTAAGAAACTGGAGAAGGCATGCCTGGACAAACCCTTTCAGTTTTGTCTTCAATTTGTATAAACTGGTGTTTTCATGTAAATAAATACATTCTTGGAGGAGCACCATCGTGTGTGAATGATTCCATGGTAACAACTTCTTGCTGAGTTACTCGTCTGAAGACTGGAAAGGAGCCTTGCAGGGAATCTCCCGTCTCATCCACACCGGCCGTGCTCAGTTGCAAGTCTGGGTAAGCAGTGAAGGCCCACGCGTGTCTCCCAAGCTGCCCCCTGCGCCCTAGACCTAATTCAGTTTTACTCAAGCCTTCCATGGCCCTGTTTGTTCCTTTTTGTCTCAGTGTGGCCTGTGTCTTCCAAAGAAATAGCACGGACTGGGTAGCTTACTGTTAGGGGGAAAAGGATGTCCTAAAGCTAATTCCATACAGGCCTTGTGGACTCCACCCCCACCCCAGGCCAAAGCCAAAGACACTGGGAACTCCAAATCCCATCACCACCAAAGGGAAGGTGGCTGGGACCTGAGGGTGGGGTTAAGCAACCAGGTTGGTATAAAGCCAGACACGTGGGCTTTGGAGGGGTCCCCATTTTGACTCTGCCAGCTCGCAGCATCCAGCCAGCTCGGAGAGTGCTTTTTGGGTTTCCAAGTCAGCGGATCGGGTAGGACGCATTAAAGACTTTATTTCCCTATTTTCTCCCTGAGTTGTACATTTTCCTTATTTCCTTTTCCCTTGTAAATAAACCTTTTATTAACCTTTTGTGTGTGCCTGTAGTGGAGTATTCATAAGTCCCTTGTAAGCGCGCAGATGAGGACCCACAGCCAGGAACCCGTTCAATATCGGGGCTGCCCTATAACATTACGGTCAACAGAAGTTTATTTTTCAGGAAACTGCACGTTTGAGAGCAAGATGTCTGCGTGGCCAGGTGTGGGCCACTTTCAGGAGGCAAATTTCTTAAGCTACTCACATGGCGGAGCAGGCAAGGGGGCTTCTCTCCCACACCGGAATCCTGTTTGCGAGGGCTCCATTCTCATGACATAGGGCCGGCTCCTGACCCATCGCGTTGGATGTTGGATGTTAGGATTTCAACATACAGAGGGGAGGGAGGGCGCAAGCTTTTGGACAGACCACAGCCATCCCAAACAGGAAAAGTCCCAGGGAAATAACAATGAAGCTGAGTGATCATGAAACAGGCTTCCTCGGCCCGGCACTGCTGACATTTTGTAGGGGTAAGTCCTTGTTTGGGGGGGCTGGCCCCAGTGTTGCACAAAGTTGAGCAGCACTGCCCATCTCTACCCACTAGGTGTCAGGAGCACTCCCCGCCTGAGATCCCCAACAAGGCCTCCAGACTTTGCCTGGTTTTTATGGGATAATCACCCCCAATGAGATATTTTAAAACAATGTCATTCAGCTGTGCAGGATTTTTAACTGGGAAGAGCTTGCCACCTGCCCTCCCAAAGGTCTAAGGATACACTGTACCTGTGTTTTTGCTGCTGTGCTCTTTATCAAGTGAATGTGAGAACCAACCACCACAGTTTAACTTTCAGTTGCAACATTTTTTTTTAAGATGTATCTATGTTTATACAAAACTGGGGTAGAGGTCAGAAGCGCGGGAGGGTGAGAGAATTCACCAGAGCCAGAGTGGGGAACAGAACAGGCAGATGGACGGAAGACACTGCTGAGGGGAGCAGGGGGCGAGGCAGGAGAGGTCTGCGCGCCATGTGGGTTCTTCCTGGCCAGCGGGGAATCGAACCGGCACTGCAGAGGCTGCGGACAGGGCCACCAGGGAGGCCCTGCAACTTTTTAAACAAAAACACTAAACACAGAAAATCAAAATTGTCTCATGAGGTCACAATGAGATTGAATGGACTCAGTTAAAACTCATCTGAATCCGGGCCTCCCTGGTGGCGCAGCAGTTGAGTATTGGGCTGCAAAGCTGCCCGCAGCCTCTGCAACGCTGGTTTGATCCCCGGCCACCGGGCGAGGGTCCCACATGGCGCAAGACCTCTCCTGCCGCCCGCTGCTCCCCTCAGCAGTGTATTTCGTTAGCCTGCCTGTTCTGTTCCCCGCTCTGGTGCTGGTGAATTCTCTCACCCTCCTGCGCTTCTGGCTGTACCCAGTGCTTGTATAAATAAATAAAATCTTAAAAAAAAAAAAAACCCTCATCTGAATCCTATTCCCATGAGGACAAAGTGATCATGTCCCTTGTCCTGCTAAGGGCAATTAGATACGAGTGTTGTAGGAGGACATGCACCAGTTGGCAGTGTCCTGCTATTATTATTAGCCATGATACGATTCTGCCTGCCTGACCCAGAGAGGTGGCTGAATGGGGAAAATTAGCCCTAATCTAACAGTCCACTCTTAATGATACTAATGAAATTAAACCAATCTTTCCCAAACATAAGGGATTTACTTCCAGTCCAGATTTCGATCGTGTGTGTGTGTGTGTGTGTGTATAATATATATATTCTTTAATATATAATGATAAATATTATATGTAAGACACTGTATGAATAGAATTATAAAAAGGCAGTGCCTTATCTTGGTTTATTGGAAGGATCTCCACAGGGTTTGGGGGTTAATCAATGCATATTTTACACAAAAATGAAGTGTTAGCAAGTGGAATTATTGTAATAGTTGCCCAGGCTAAGGACCAGTGAGGTTTGGTGTGGTTTGGCACAGCCAATCCGATGGGTGAGGACTTCTACTTTATAATTATTGTGAGTTAAACTGGATATTCTTTCATATCATCGAGGGCCATTTTATATGTGAATTTTCTGTTTGTGTCTTCTGGACGTCTACGTTAGTACTGGGATTACAATCCCTTCCATTTTACTGTTCCCATTTACCAGTAAATCTCCCCTTTATTTTTACCTTTTTCCATCATTAATGTTTTTAGGTTGTGTCTTCCACACAGCACAGATTGGGTGCTCTATGAACCAATTTGAGAATCTTTTAAAAGGCACATTAAGCACATTCAGTTTTTATGATATGACAACTGTGTTCACCCTCAATTTTGTCCTGTTTCATGTTGTCTTTACTGAGTGTGTGTGTGTGTGTGTGTGTGTGTTTAGGAAGTTGTGCTTTTATTTAGCAGTGACTTTTGCACTCATGCTTTGTCTAGTTCTTATTCCCTTTTTTCTTCATGTGATACTGACTCACTGACTTTTCTAAGTGATTCCAGCACCCACTTATCACCTATACATCAGCCAGTGGTTTAACCTCTTTGATTTCTTCTCTCCCACTTTTCGATGGGAGAACCTATGGCAGTTGGATTTGTTCTACTTTGTTCATTCAAAGATGTTTCTGTATTTTTCTTCAATTCATCTCCCCCCTTGTGCTAGTCTTTTCTCCGTTGTCAAACAAGTGACATGCTCTCCATCAGTCCCTTTTTCCCAGACAGCTTTTAGTCGGATGTTGCTACCCCTCCAGCAAGTCCCTTGTCAAGAGCACGTGTGACAGTGTCCCTGGCAGACTCAGAGCTGGTTTTCTATGACCTTGAGGCTCAAAGGAAGTCTGCTTTTTCCTTAAGTTTCTTCAGAATGCTGCCCGCTGTCTCCTTGCCTTATATGTTATTTTTGAGAAATCGAAGGCCAACCTAATTCTCTTCCCTTTGTAATTTTTTTCATTTTTTTTTTGCCTGGAGGCTCTAAGAAAGTTCTTTTTCTTTATCTTTAAAATCTATTCATTTTGCAAGGCTTTATCTCGGAGTTGATTATTCGTGGTCCAATTTCCTGGCTACTCCCTGATCCCATTCAATGTACAGATTCAATTCTTTTATTTCTGGAAATTTTTCTTGGATTTGAGTATTAAATATTCTGTTCTACCTATTTTTCTTCTTTTTAAGAGCTACTAATCATAGTCATTTTCTGCCTCCTTTTGCCTTAATTCTGTTTCAGCTTCTTTCTGATCTATTTTATTTTCTTTATCTCATTTTTATTCTCTTGTTTGTTCTCCTTTTACTCAGCACCCTTTATTAAGTTTCTGTTTGAACCCATTCTCTTTGGGAGATCTTGTAATCTGCTTTTTATCACTGATACAATTCTGTGGTTTTCTTCTGTTTCTTTCCTAGTTTTCATCAGCTATAATTTCATTTCTTTTTTCTTGATTTCTCTACCTTGCTGTTGTGTTTCTGATTCAGGTGTTTCCCATATCCTCAGATGCGTGTTGGAGAATATTTTGTTAACGCCGATTGCTGCCCCCAAGGTACTCCTCAACTGTGTGGGGTAGACTTCTCCAGCAAGAAACTTCTAGTCACAATTCTGACTTTGCAGTCCTTCCCATGGAAAGTGCCTGCTGTTCTCTGTTCTTCTCACAGCCTGGGCTGGGGCCTTCTGCCCATACTCTGCCCTGCATGATTTCTCCACGATTTCTCCATAGATGGCGGTGGTGGGCAGTGAGAGAAGGGACAGACAAGAACCTTATTCTTGTTTTCGGTAGAATCTTTTGTTTTCCTTTATTCACTTTTTTTCCTTCATTGTCTGTCTCCCAGAAACTCCCCTTCTCTGCATTTCCAACTCTCCCCCCAGTTGGAAGAGAGCAAGAGAGACTAATGTTGGCCTCACTGTACACATTTCCTATTAGGTTGGCGGCTCAGAGATGATGCTCTTGGGGTTCTCAAAAGGTCCCTAAGGATATCCTTTTTATTCTCCAGTCGGCCCCTCTGGTCCTGCCTGCTTTCAGCCCTGCAGCCAAGACTAGAAGCTACTGAAACCCCTCAGTGGTCATTACATGTATGCATTTTCTTCTACCTTTAATGAATTAACTAGTTAATTAATTTTAAGTTTTATTTATTTTCTTCCATTGTTGTTAATTTTTGGACAGTATTTAATTTCTCCTCTCATGTGTAGTCTGGTTGTTCTCCCGCCACCTTTTGTTTGGGCTGGTTCTCTATTTTTTTTTAAAGATTTATTTATTTATGTATATAAGAACTGGGGTGTAGACCAGTGGTGTGGGTGTTGAGAGGATTCACCAGACACAGAGTGGGGAGCAGAACAGGCAAATCTACTGAAATACCTGCTAAGGAGAGCAGCAGGTGAGTGTTCTGCCGTGCCATGTGGGTTGCTCCCTGGCCAGGGATCGAATTCGTGCTGCAGAGGTAGAAGACAGCTT